ACAAGCTGCTTCCGTGTCAGTCTCAGAGCTGGTGAGATGCGGTGATACTAGCTTATCATTTTGGTTTACTAAGTCTGAATGTTTCTGAATGTTTCAGATCAGTTATGATGACTACATTATTCGTTTCTATTTGCTATATTCAAGAATAACGAATGAGATCAGATGTTAAAAGTTGATCTGAATAGTTTAAAATCCAGAACTTCATCTATATTCCTTCAGCATTTCTTCTCTTTTACATTGCATAACTAGGGTCAATGTAGTTGTTTCTGTTTGACAAACTGATCGTGTCATGATCTTGGCGCTGATGTCTGTTCTGATTACTCATTTCACTCACCTGCCTTTCTCCCTACAGTCCTAATCACCACTCATCTGATCCACCTGTGTCAGCCTCTATTAAACCAGCCTTCAGACCAGTCATCAAGGCCAGATAATTCAAGCCGTTGGTGATAAGAATTCTAGCATACCTGTGTTTTCTGATTGCCTGATCCTGACCCGTTCTGCCTCTGGACCTTTCCCTTCGAAACCTCTTCGGACCTCTGATCTCCTGGCTCTAACTACCAAGCACATCTTTCACACCGGCTTTGGCTTCGCCCTCTGGATTATTCTGCTTCCCTTCATCTTCTCCCTTCTGATCTCCTGCCTGGCTGCCAATCTCCAAGACATCGGTGTCTGGGACTTTCTTGGCGGCGCCCAATGTGAGTTGTTCACAGCCGACTGGCTGGAACCAACCTCACCCTCTGGGCATGGACTGAACTAAAAGACCAGAGATTACTGCTTTAGATGCTGACGCTGTTCACTTCAGTTCTGTTCTAATAAACGTTTTGAGAAATCTGTCTGTCCGCCTTGACAACTGGACCCTATTGTTCTGAGCCAGACAGATCACAACTTCTGTAGTTGATGGTGCCTTAATATGTCCATTTCAATAACTTTATATTATGCAATCTTTTTTGTGTGCAGCATAACATCCACATAACATGACACTGTCATCCAACCAGCCTTGAAAGTCTCTATTTTCTTTCCTCAAAATGTAAGGGGGACTTAAGTGGTCGAACTTTCCAATTTTTGTGTCAGACCCCATTCAATTTCTACCCAAAATAAAGTCTTTGTCCCCGTATTTGTAAACTTTTTATGTTACTTTAGAGAGTCGCGGCTTCTTTCTAGCTGAGTGGCATTTCAGTCAATGCTGGTCCAGGACATTTTTTTACAGTGGATAATAAAAATCTCTGTGAGTACTCTCACCAAGCATGTTAGAAAGGGCTTTTTCTTTGTACAGACATTAACCTGTTCATTTCTGGTATTTAATTGGTGAAATGGATGAATTTGGTTCCATAACGCATCTGGACAATGACACTTAAGGATGAACCAGACCTGTAAAAGTTCATTCTTCATTACTAAAAGTTTATGAAAAAATAGTAAACCCATTAAAACTGGATCAAAGCACGTCTGAATCACCTGTCCAGTATAGGTCATGTGACTGACTTATGTTTTATCAGTCAGTCACATGACCTAACAAGCTTTTTGAAACCAAATTAATCTTAAAGAAAAATTAAAGATCTACTCTAATTATCTTTCTAGTCTAAAACAATGATTCTGCATTAATTTTGTGTCGATTGGTCACATTTACGTAGACATTTACGTTGACAGTTCTAATATTACAGCCGTCCACTAGAGGGCACCTCTGTTTATTCTTAAGCAGAAAGCTTAATCATATTTGCATGAGTGGAAGCATGCAAGAGCAGAAACATAAATCTGCATAATTTCTCTGCTGGGTTTGAAAAGCGATGCTATAATGATAGAAATGTAAAGGGCATTAAGGAAAACATAAACAACTAGATAAAAAAGGAAAATGCTAGTAGTTAGCATGGTGGATGGGAAAGGCTTGTCTAAGTTAGCACACTTCATGGAGCCAAGTTTTAACATTCCTTTGAGAGCAACCAGAACCACCTGTTTTAAAGTCTCTCCCAGCATGGAATGTTGAATAACACTAAAAACAGAGAGTTATTTTACAGTTAGAGTCCACTTTATTAAAACAAAGTGGCGAACAGTCAGATCAACATACCCTGCCTATTATTCGTAGTTTCACACCTTGGTGTATTGGAAATTGCAAACTTTATTTATCTTTTTCTTGAATTAGTAAACTAATAGGTTCCTGTTTATTTATATCTTGTAAACATGTTGAATTTAATACATTTATAATAATTTAATATTTCCATGTAATGGAAAGTTCCTGTTGATTCAAGAGAAAACTCAGGTTTTTTTAAGAAAATGACTGCTTATAAAATAATAATAATAATTAAAATAAAAAAAGTAATTCAAATAATTGAATTTATTGATCTTATATTGGAGAAATTTACCTCTGCATTTGACCTACTCCCTTGGGGAGCAGTGGGCTGCCATGGTGGGGGGCCTGGGGAGCAGTGTGGGTCTTGCTCAGAGACCCACAGTGGCAGTCTGTGGGAGTGGGGCTCCAACTCAGAACCTCAGGATTCCAAGCTCTATGCCCTAACCACTAGGCCGCCACTACCCCACTTAAATTAATCATTAGTTGATTGATAGGATCATTCAACATTAGATTAATTCAATATTTGAAAATATGCATCCCTATCTCAAAGTTATTAATCATACAATACAAGTATTTTTGTTTATGTATTGTTTATGTATCTTGAGGTGGGAGGAAAGAGCAGTTAGACTGAATCTCTGACCCAGTGGCTCAAACCACAGAAACATCCAGTGTTTCGCCCATTTTCTCAGAGTCCGGGAAAAACGATGGAGGGGGATCCTTCATCTCACACGAAAGCTCTGTCACAAAAGTATTATCACTGTGATTGCTCTGCTCGTCATGTTTGTGTTGCTGTAAGGGCCAGTGTGCTGCAGATGACAACCAAGACCACGCCCGGCCCTCAATCACCCCCCAACCTGCCACTGTCCTTTGGGTATTGCCTTCCAACGAACCATTTGTTATATATTATACATGAGCAGAAGTATTGTTCTGGAGTGACATGTGTTGTACTTTAAAACATATTTACTGATCTGCCTCTGTTTAATCTTGACCAGGGCTCTCGAGGGCCACAACACTGCGGGCTTAGAGGTTTCCCCTGCTTTAGCACAGCTGGTTATGACTGTAGTTCAGCAAAAGCCTGTTAATCAGGTTTCAATAGAAATCAGCTGTACGGAAGCAGGTAAACCTCTAAAAAATGCAGGACAGTGGCCCTTGGGGGCCGACTTTGGTCAGCCCTGACCTAGACCATGTTTATACAACAATCCATTAAAATAGGGTTTTTATTTTCGTTTCTATGAACTCATTCACGTGATTATATTCTAATTACAATCTCTGTACAACAAGCCGAAGCGTAAAAAATTGTTTAATTTCCCTTATACACCACAAATTGATGATATGTTCCATAAAACCTCAATCAAATATGTATACACCACCTGCTTTCAAAACACTAAAGAAAATGAGAATTTTGTTGGAAAAACCATCATTTGGTTCAAAGAGGTCAGCCCCATACATATGCAATCATTATTGTCAGTATATTCCGCAACTGAAGTAATGGGTTAAAACTTTCTGCTATTGTCAGAGGAAAACATTGTTGTGTAAACGAAAAGTAGAACAAAATGCTGTCATGTAAACAGGGCCAGTGTTCACAAAGCTATGACATATCAGGTTTTTCACAAACTGTTGAGCACCCGGTTCATCTTAGAGCATGATAAAGAGCTGTATTTAACAAAATGGAAAACAATGAATAATAAAAAACAAATCTTTTATTTCTGACATAAAAAAACCTAAAACAGGAAAATTTGAGTTTAATTTAATCTCAGACTGTAAGAGAAAGTCAGGGGTCATGTTTCTTTTCAAAGAGCATCAGAGTTGGTTGTTTCCACTTTATAGTGATGAGTTTTAGTAGGAGAATTGATTCTTAGAGGGAAAAGTCTGAGAGAATTATAGTGGAGATCAATGTTCAAAGGGAGCAGTACCTTCGGTAACCCATCCCCCAGTCCCCCCCATGGTCATCGGGCCCTCCCTCAGTCACTGCCATGACTCCCTAATAATTCTCTTCAGTCTTCCGACCAGACAACAGGTCTACCTTTAGGCCCTGCTCCTGCTCAGGATGACTTTGCTTCCCGGGAGAGGACTCTCCCTCCCTGTATGCCGGCCAGGACAGAACCACTGCAACAGAGGCTGCAGGGAAACACAAATTCAGCTTGCTCTGCAGTCAGCCCCTCCATCCTCCTCTGCCGATGACAGCCAAGAATCCAAGATAGATCAGATCGGTTTTCACAGAACCGACCCCCGCCCCCACCCCGATCCCCAGTGAAGTCAGGTGACCAGATGTTGCACATCTCCCTGTGACTACAGCCGCCATGAAGCTGCTGCACACAACCATGTTTGAAGCCAGGACACTGAGGCGCGTCTCAGATCGCCGTGTGTGTGCATCTCTAACCGGAGGCCATGCATGAGGCGGTGCAGAAGAAACAAAAGAACATCCATCAGCATATAAACCGTCCATCATCACCTCATCCACATCAGCATAGTACAGCTCTGATCCATCCGGCAGCTCCCAAAATAGCGTTGCTTCTTTCTTGCTTCAGTGTAACCACTGCAGCTGCTGCATTTCACACACACACACACACACCAACAACCACACACACATTCACTGACACAAGGCTTCTACAAATGCCTCCATTGATTCTAACCGGGCCTCATCAATAAGGATGCTATTTGTGAGGTGTAAAGGAGTGTACACAGAGGTGATGGGATGCAGGGGATTCTGGGATGATATAAAACGCCTGATGGGGGGAAATCCATTTCTATCCCAGTCTGAGACCTGAGGACTGCTAAAGAAACAGCTGCCTGTTTAGCAGGCCAGAATGCAGAGTGCAGGAAGAAAAAGGAAGGCTACAAAGCAACCCCTACATACACAGCCTCTCCCCTCCTCCCCAGATCCCCCTCTGCCTCCCCCCTTTACATCTCTTATTGCATTACAGAGAGAGGGAATTACCTGAAATATGTCTTCACATTCTGCTGCTCAGCGTCTCGCCTTTGGGCCTGGAGTCCTGCTGGATTCATCGTCAGTCGTACAGTCTTAGTGACAGTTTAAAGGCAGGACTGCCATTCTCTTGTCAGACCAGTTCCTGACCCTAAAAGCAAAGCTTGTTCGGCAGGCTGGATGCTTCACTGGCTGTTCACTGTTCCCTAGCCCATGATGTCATCCACCCAGCTCGGCTGATTGGCTGAGGGGCAGAATATTAATGCAGGCAGCAGGTCTAGGGGAGGAGGCAGCCAACGGGCAGAAGCTGTTGGTTTTCTGTTTAACAGACCAAACCTGTAAATCAGAGACATTGGGAGAGGTGGGTTTATACACAGGACTTTGTTACACATTTATTACACATTTATTAACTATAAATAAAACGTTACACAACAATACACAACAGAATAAAGTGCTATCAGACTATATTCTACACACAACAGGGTAAAAGCTTGGAAGCAAACAAAATAAGCATTATGCAAAAGTTCACACAGTTTCACATCCCATTTTTCCTTTGCAAGAGTTTGTGTCTATTAAAATAGTCTCTAACGTGTTGTATTGCAAAAGGTGATCTGTCCATGTACTATGAAGAAAGCATAGTCTGATCATGCCAAAAACATACCAAAAAAACATTCCTGAAAAAGACAGTTTTGAAAGCATGAAAGCATGAAACAGCAACAAATGGACGGGTTGAAACTGGGGCTGCCCTGACAAAAGGAACAGTAACATTTAACATGCTAAAAAAAAAAAGAAGTTTGCGAGTGTGTGATCAAAACTTAAAGTCAGACATTTTAAAAATATAAACAAGGCGCTTTCAAAGAAATCAAAGGAAATGGAGAATGAGAAGCCGTTAAAAAGATAAATCTGTGAGGTACCGATGTTTACAATCACTTTACAATCAGTCATGTGAAGCACAATAATGATAATACTGTATTTTCCAGACTTTAGAGTGCACCTCAATATAAGTGGTGCCCACAAACTTTTTTGAAAATACTCGAAAAGTAGAGCCGCACCGGCCTATAATCCACTGATATCTACTGAACTGTTTGCCACCAAACCTGTAGGGGGAGCTCTACATATGGCACCTGGAGTAGGGATGAAGAATAATTCTAGGTCCCGTTAGTTTGTTGGCCCGTGGCAGTAAGAGCTTCTACTGAAAGATGGGGCTGTGTCGGCTCTTTAGTTCAGCTCTGCAGGAGATTAACCCTGTATCTTCATTGGTTCGGAAGCTTTAATGCTGCAAATAAATGGCAAAATGTGTGAATTCGGGACATTTGTTCTGCTATATGAAAATTAGCCCCTTGTTATTTAATCTACAATTTTGCCTTCCACCTCTGGCAGTTAAGAAAAGTCCACAGAAAAGCTAGCCAAGTAAACTAGCCCCACCCGCCAGCGTACAAAACCATTTTTTGCCTTCGAGTGGTCTAGCCTCGATCAATGCCACAGGCCCTAGAACTGGCGGGCCAGAGATGTGTTTTGAATTTTCGGATGCAAAGCGGGCGGGGTTTTCAGGACGTGACGACAAAGCTGCGCGACGCTGGAGAAAGCACAACAAGGAAGATGGCAACAACTATTGAACAGTACCATGCACTGCAGCAGCAACAGCTTTCAATGGAGCGCTCCATTGAAAGTTAAAAGTTCTCTTTTCTGTTGCTGTTGTTCAATTAAAGTACGTTCTAAGATCATTTGAGGAGTCTAAAAATTTCTGCATTAATAATTGGTTTCTGACTTGAACGCCTTTGTTCACCTTAAACATATAATTTATTATGATTTGTGATTCTAAAATCTTCATAAGTGATCTGGATCATCTTTAAAATCCAAACTTATCAGAGATATACATTATCCGTTTGTGATGGTGTTCGTATGCAGGCGGAGACGACAACCAACACAGTTTCCATATTTGCAATCATTTGCCTATGATGTCATCTTTTTCCTATATCTCACCTGTGATTGGCTGACAGTGCCAGCATCTGCTCAGTCTCATGGCTAAGGCTTCTAGCCCAAGGTGGAGGTCTATCTGAGTCTCCCTGAATCATGGCTGGTTGTCCTGACAACCCCTGTAATGTCGATTCCTAGCTGGAGAGTAATATGGCTGTTCTGTGACAGCGCTGAATCAAAAGGAGAGTGCAATGATTGCATGCATACAGCGCCCTATAAAGATAGTGTAATCTTTAAAATAAGCTTTCATATAGCTTTTGACAAACTATGTTAATTTTTTTTTCTTTACAAAAAATAATAGTTTTGTGTAACAAAAAAAAAAGAAAGAAAAATAATTCTCTTTTAATATTTCTTAACATTTACTCCAGATATGCAGGCATAGGTATAGACATAGAAATCCTGTTAAATAAACTTTAGACATATCTATATGTCAGAAAGAAACAGAAAGAGAACGACCGTCCATCCATGGGGATCTCTGCACACACTGCTTTAAAGCTCAGCCAAGGCAAAGAGAAAAAAATCATGACTTGACAGAAAATATTGGCTATTAATCTGTGTCATATGTTTCTCTCATGGCTGTAATATTAGCTGGCGCAATCATTTCCCGGCTTTATTACAGCCACATTATTGGCAGAAAGGTTTTTTTTTTATTTGAGTTTTTTTATGTAAATGAATAAAATAACCTACCTTTAAGATCCCTATTCCAAAAAAAATAAAATAAAATAAATAGTTATAACATTTCCTGCACATTTATAGTTTGCCTGAAACATTTTTGAAGGCTTGCCCTGAATCTGGACCTACCATTAATTAAGTAATAACCCACATAGCACCAAACAGTATCATGCATCACCAAACTGACAACGGCTTACCTCATTTTAGGTGAAACCAGATCTTAAACAAACAATAGCTTTAGTGCAAAAATTCATCATGTCAAATTCAACATATTAATTGCAGTATTTTGGGTGAGCTAATATTTGATGTTTAAAGCAGCCCTGTATGGGGTAAAATGATGAGCTGACAGAGGAAGTTGAATTATGGAGCACAACGCCTTCAGTGATCTGATTTATATAATGAATCTTATAAACATCCTGTGAGGCAAAACAAGTTGCTGATGTGACATTCTCTGAGAGGCTGAGTCTGAATTTTACCAATCTGGTAGTTAAGTCAGGATAAAAAGGCATTCACTGACATTTCTACAAAACCTGCACCCTTACTGATAAATCCTGAATATCTCTTTTTATTTTAATAAGGTCAAAAAAGACTGGTCTAGCTATTATAACTCAGATGCACTGGTTGGAGTTTTGGACCAACCACGAATCAAACTGAAGCTGCTTTAACTCTACTGTAAGGAAATCATGGGCTACCTTCCTTCTTATACATTTTATGAGCTAAAATTTTAAATGCAGACAAACACCAAAATCAGACATTAAGATGCAATTGGATTTAATTCAAAATGGTATCCCTTATAAAGAAAAATATGTACCAATAGAAATAAACAGATATGGTAAAGTTTGGCTCTAATACAGTTGAAATTTAATTAAATTCTGTTTATTTATAAAGCACCAATTAATTAAATTAATTTACCCAAATTAAATTGAAGAAGGAAGGAAAGTGACTTACCACATGAGCTAGCCAGTCTTTATTAAAATGGTCAGTTTCTAATGCTGCGTTCACACTGAACGTGCTTCGAGCAGCAAAGAGGCCTCTGCTTCCTCTTTGTTGTTTGTTCACATTAGGGTCAGGCGCTCTCAACACGCATCATCAAAGTGAGTCTTGGGTCTGACGGAAGGAGCTACCCTCTTCTATTTTCCCTCTAAAAGAGTGGCTTCGCTTCTTTTACTAAAGCAAGATAATTTTTTGTCCTTTTCGGGCCGATTCTCCGGTCGTGGGAGAATTTTTCGGTCGGGCTGAGTATTAGCCTCCTTGTGTGCCCTGCGTCATGTAGTATACAGGGGGTAACGAGGGGCCATTAGCCTCACATTACCAGCTCCCGATCAGGAATCGTAAGGTCGGGAGAAAATCAAACATGTTTACAATTCAGTCGGCCGCCATAAGGTGTTTGTGGGTAAATCCTGCTGTTGAAGCAGAACTATGAGTGTCTACAAGTCGATTTACCTGAACCTCAAGCACTGCACATGTGTAAACAAGGCAGTTCTCCTTCTTCCAGATCGATGAGTCCGACCAGCGCCATCTCTCCGCACTGAGTCCGACGAGTGGTTTTTGGACTTGCAGTGTGAGCAGGTAGATCGCATCACACCGTCGGACCGTACAGTGTGAGAACATACATCGGGAGCTGTCAACTTTTCAACACTGCAGATTCGTCATACAGTTTAAGCTGTAGCTCCGCGCAACAACTGAAGACAATTCAATAGCTGGGCGCTGATGAGCTTTACTTCCAGAGCTATTCTTGTCTCATCCAAGCCTAGTTTGACGACCTGCTGTCCCTCATCAGTGGTGCATGCATATCCTACCAGAACACCAACACATAGCAGAGCCTCTCTCTCATTGGTTGTTGTGGCACATCACGCAGCATACGTTCAGATTTTCTAACTCAATAGCTGGCTGCTTGTGAAGTTTGGACATCAAATGCTTAAATGCTAATAACACACTGCTTCAGCTGCTCAAAACTTCTCAAAACACACTGGACCTTTTGACGCAAGTCCACCATGGATTTTGGATGTATACCAGCTGCTCCAGTCTGACCAAACAGCATGAAAACCCCTGACTAACATTTGGGGGTATTTTCAATTAAAAGGTCACATCTTTGTGGAAAACATATATTGAGATTGTTGTTATTATAATATGTCAGTATGATGTCAACAATATAGGAAGTTTGAATTTGGATTTAAAAAATGTTATGCCCTTGTTTTAACATTACCTAAGCCATTTCTTTACAGGTGTTTTTAAATGAACTGATCAGATGTTGAGATAACTCTGTAAGAATTATGCTTAGATTAGATTGTAATTAAACAAATTGTGTTCCTCAACAAAGATTACCAATGACCAAAGTGATTAAAACAAGCAGTGTTGGGCATGTTACTATGAAAAAGTAATTAGTTATAGTTTCTAGTTACTTCTCCCAAAAAGTAACTGAGTTACTAACTGAGTTACCCCACAATACAAGTAACTAGTTATTAGTAAAAGTAACTATTGCGTTACTTTTGCGTTTCTCGCCCCCGTAACCCTCACCACCTGGCC